CAGGAGTGAGCAGCCCGGACACAGCAGGCTCAGGTGTAGCCAGAGATGACCCTGCATGCACCCGTGTCCAGCGGGGCAGGCCTCGCTGTGGGCTGCCCTGTCCTGGGCCAGTTCTGGGCCTCTCTCCTCTCTCTGTCAGGCACACACACGAGCGAGTCTTCCGCCAGCCCCTCCTCTCTGAGCACAGTGCCCCCCAGGAGAGCAGAGCCCATGCTGAGCCCCCATGGCCAGGGAGGGTGCAACCCTGGCCCTTCCACCCCAAGGAGAGGCTGGAGATCCCCCAACCCAAATGCAGCGCTAGCAAGTTTCCACCCTCACGAGGTGGCCAGGAGGTTCCCATGTGGGGCACCGCCAAGACGCCCCAGCACTGCTGGCTGAACCCCAATGGCAGGACTAGCATGCATGGATATAGCAGCCATCTCCACTGACGAGGGCTGCCCCACCCTGGTCTACACAGCGAGCCCCAGCCTGGAGCACGCATCCCTGCCTGCACGGGCTGCCTCTGACCCACACTCTCCCCACCCTCGTCTACACAGCCAGCCTCAGTCCAGAGCACACATCCCCTTGTACCGTTGTCTGAACTCACTTCACACTCACCCTGCGCGTCTCCGGGCCGTCTCCTGGCACCAACCCAGGGCCTCTCGCCTGGAAAGGCCATTATTTTTGCAAGGTTTCCTTGGCACCCGGTGGGACGTCTGGAAGCAGTGAGCCCAGGCCTCCGCGGACACAACATGGAAACAGGCTGTGTTACACGCAGCAGCCGGGCCAAGCGGACGGGCGAGGCCAGGCCTGCCGCCTTGTGCCTGGCGTCACTCTGCGCGCGGCCGCTGATCGGAGCCGGCACGGCCTTGTGTGACCAAGGAAGGCTGCGGGGCCACCTTGGCAGGCCCTGCTTCTGTGCATGCTGAGCTGCGCTGGGGGTCCCGGGGGAGAGCTCAGCGGGAGAAGGCGCCCTGTGACCCCTCCCCTGGCCCCACGCTGGACTCTGTCCACACTGGCTGCACCTGTCAGTGTGGCTGTGACTTGCGCCCCGCTCTGGGCCTAAGCGGAAAGAGGGCGTTGCTGTAAGGGCAGCTGGGCCTGTGTGCCCCTCCTGACCCTCCAGCCCCTCCCTTCCCTCCGCTGACCCCACTCACACCCGGGGACAAAGCGCCAGGTGTGATGGCGGACAGCAGGCCGGTGGTGGCACATCCAGGGGAGCTCAGGGCTCAGAAGTCCCTCCTGCTGGTTAGAGGGGAGTGTCCCCTGTGGGCGGGAACCCCCCTGATCGTAGTGCCCAACCCTGGCCTGGGAGTCTGGGCTGAGTGGCACGACCCTGGGCTCACGGGAGACTCGAGGGTGCCCTGACCCCCACTTACACCACACCTCTCCCCGTGGGCAGAATGTGGCTGTCAGCCACAGGGCTGGTTAGAGTTGATAGAGAAGAAAGGGACAGTAGGTGACCCCCGTCTGCTCCGGCTGGTGGCAGACACTTAACAAGGGTCAGCACGCAGGGCCGGGAGGCCACGTCCACGGTCACGGGGTCAGCACGCAGGGCCGGGAGGCCACGTCCACGGTCGCGGGGTCAGCACGCAGGGCCGGGAGGCCACGTCCACGGTCATGGGGTCAGCACGCAGGGCCGGGAGGCCACGTCCACGGTCGCGGGGTCAGCAGGCAGGGCCGGGAGGCCACGTCCACGGTCGCGGGGTCAGCAGGCAGGGCCGGGAGGCCACGTCCACGGTCGCGGGGTCAGCACGCAGGGCCGGGAGGCCACGTCCACGGTCGCGGGGTCAGCACGCAGGGCCGGGAGGCCACGTCCACGGTCGCCTCCTCTCTAGGCAGGAGCTCGTCCTTATGGGAAGCACAAGTGGGACGAGGACTTGGCTGTGCCCCCAGGGCTTCTCAGACGCAGGGCCTCCAGGGCCTGGGCTGACCCCTCTTGGGGGGCATGAGGAGGTGGCAACCCCCTCGTCCCCAAGAGGAGCCCTTGGTGCTGGTTGTGCGGTCACATCTCTGCAAGAGGAAGCAAGTGGCCGTGGGAAGAGCCGCTGTGCAGCCGGTTCCCAGCGCACCTGCAGTGCACCAAGGGGACACAGGTCGGACACAGGTCGGACACGGTGCAGGACAGGAGGGGTGCGCAGGGGAGGGGGCACATGAGGGGGTGCGGAGTGACCCGTGGGTGAATGAGGAGGAGCAGAAGGGCTGGGGCTCTGCCGCTCAGCTCCAGTGGGATCAGGCCACACTTGGTGTTGGCTGGGGCTCTGGAGTGCCAAGGCCCGTCCAGCGACAGGAGAGCCCAGAGGACACTGGGCCTCACGGGGAGGTGCCTGAGGTTGGCAGTGTGTGCCCCCGGGGCCTTTGTGGAGATCCCAAGCTGCTTCTGTTCCCTTTTCTGATGGCCTGTTTCCTCATCTGGAACCGGATAACCAGCAGCCCTCCCACCTGCCAGGACGCACCAGCCCTCCCACCTGCCGAGGGACAGCAGCCCTCCCACCTGCCGAGGGACAGCAGCCCTCCCACCTGCCGAGGGACAGCAGCCCTCCCACCTGCCAGGGCGCACCAGCCCTCCCACCTGCCGGGACAGCAGCCCTCCCACCTGCCGAGGGACAGCAGCCCTCCCACCTGCCAGGGCGCACAATTCTTTCTAGATCAACTTTGTTTATTTGAAGGACAGAGTTAGAGACACTGTTCACTCCCCATATGACGGCGGTGGTCGAGCTGGGCTGGGCCAAGCCAGGGGTCAGGAGCCTCTTCCAGGTCTCCCATGTGGGTATAGGGGCCCCATCCTCTGTCCCCATCAGGCACATGAGCAGGGAGAACTCGAACCATATGGGCTTAAGCCATTGCCCCACAGCACCAGCCCCCGATGCGTGCTGACGGTCAGGTTCTCAGTGCCCGTGTGGGGCCTCTTCTTGCAGCTGCCTGGACAGGGGCAGCAGCCTGCCCTGGCCGTCCTGCCCCTCCTCCGGCACGCATGGCATGTTGGCCCTTAGAGAAACTGGGTGGGAGGGGCAGGGGGGCCACGGTGCTTCTGGCTCACAAAGGGGCAGCTGAGGTGCCACTTAGGTGCTGGGTGACTGATGGTGACTGGCAGGAAGGAGCTGCCCTAGTATCCTCTGGCAGCAGCCCCGAAGTTGGAAGCAAAAGCCTGGCGCTGCCTGCCGGTGCCTCGGGCTGCAGGAGGTGCTGCCTGCCAGTGCCCCAGGCTGTGCCCTCGGCTGCAGGAGGCGCTGCCTGCCGGCTGCTGGGAACACGGACACTCCAGGGGCCTAGCGAGGAGACCACGAGGTGAGTCAGGCAGACCTTACTCGGAGCATACAGCACAGCCAACACACACATTCACTGCACGCAGAACTCACGCACGTACATGCTTCCACAAGCGTGAACATGCACACATACACACACAGCCACATGCGTACGACCTGCATCTGTGCACACATCTCTGACAAGCGTGCAAACACACGGGGCCTGCACCTGCAGACCTCTGAGGCAGCCACACCCCTCACACAGCTGTGCACAGGTAATACTGCTCAAACACCCACACATGTGCTGGACTCACACACCCACTTCCCCCTGCCACACTGCCCTCTGCGCGGCTTCACCTGCTCCGTGGGACACCCCCAGAGGGTCCTCACAGAGGTGCACACGGAAGCTCCTCCCTCCGCTCCGGGGCCCCAGCCAGCGTCCCCTCCCCTCCCAGTTCCCAACAGAACTGGAGGGTTTCTGCAGAATTTCCCGGCCAGGCAGAGAGGTGGCTGGAGGGGGTGGGGGTCCAGGCCTGCGCCCTCACGGCTGCCAGCGGCACTGTTTGTCCAAGGCTTGCAAAGCCTTCTTAAGTCCCTGCTGCCTTCTTTCTAAACACAGGCCTGCCACGCTGCCAGAAGGGCTGAGTCAGGGAGGTGTCCTGGGCCTGGGGACTCCTGCAGGACAGGCTCCCACGGCCACCCAGGGGCCAGCTGTCAGCTCCCCAAGCAGAGGTCTCCCAGGGTGCACAGGGCACAGGCGAGGGCTGCGGCCCGAGGAGCTCCCCAGACGCTCCGTGTCCAGGCATCTGCGGATGTCCCGGACAGGCACACCGAGCAGTCCCGGGTGGGGGTGGGCGCACAGGCCGCAGCCTGGCAGCCTTGGACGCCCCGGATCTGGCTGCTCCAGCGCCCGAGTCCCCACCCACCCGAGCAGCTCCCCCCAGCCTTCCACGTTCCAGCCGCAGCTGGGCGGGGTGCGCCGCAAGCTTTTGTGTTGTCTTTTCTTTTTTAATCCAAACTTTTCAAACTTTCGGGGCCCCAGCTCAGGATCCAGCACACACGGGGTAGGAACTGTGGGGGACCCAGGCCTCCCCAGACCCCCGCGCGGGCCCACCCATCCACGCCCGAGCCAGCGCGCGCTCCGGAGCAGGGGCGCCGCCCCCGCCCCACGTCCGCTCCCGCCCCCCGGCCGGCCCCTTCCTCGCCGCGACTCGCCCGCTGTCCCCACCCCCTCGCCCGCGGCGCCCAGTGGGAGGCGGGGGCCGGCCTCGCCGAGGCCAGCGCGGAGCTCTGATTTGCTGTGGGAGTCGGGGATCTACAGACTTGGCGGGTGCCTGCGCCGAGAGAGGGAGGGAGCAAAACGGGAAAAAGTGCAGGGCGCCGACGGCGAGGTCCCCACTCGGCGTCCCCGCGGCTGCTGGCGCAGGCCCTCACTCCGGAGGAGCGCGCGCAGGGAGCAGGGCGCGGGGCGGTGTCGGCGAGCAGGAGGCCACCAGGACTTGGGAGAAAGGGAGGAGGAGGCCAGGGCCACTGAGTCGAGCGGGTCGCGGCCGACCCTTGAGGCCAAAGTTGAGCCCGCCTCCCACTCCGCCCGTGGGCCAGCGCGCCAGCCGCCCCCTGCCCGAAGAGCCGCCGCCACAAAGGAGACCGGGTCGGCGCCAAGAGTTCCCTATGACCTCCTGAAGTTGTGCGCTGCCCGCCCAGTCCTCTGCCCGGGCCGTGCCCCGCCGCCCCCGCGCGTCTTGGTGCGCCCCGGCCGCCCCGCGCGCTGCCGGCATGGACGTCCACACCCGCTGGAAAGCGCGCAGCCGGCTCCGCCCGGGCGCGCCACTGCTGCTGCCGCCCCCTCCGTCGCTGCTGCTGCTGCTGCTGCTGCTGCTGTGGGCGCCGCCTCCGAGCTGCGCAGGTAAGGGCGCTCTTGGGGCGCGCGGGGCGCTGGCACCGCTGTCATCGCCGGGGCGCACTCGCCTGCCTCAGCGCCCCCACGGCTTTCCCGGCTGGGCTTGTGTAATGCACGGGCCGAGACGTGGAACATCTTTTTTTTTTTTTTTTGGCGGGGCGTGGTGTGGGGGTGGGGTGGGGGAAGCGTCCTGGAGAGGGAGAGGCTCCCGCAAGGAACTGCTGTGGCAGGCAGCCCCCTCCCCAAACGGGCGGGCCAGGCGGGACTTCTCTCCCAGCCCAGGAAGGCACGCAAGTTGGAGCAGCCTGGGGTGGGGGTGGTGGCGGGGTGGCTTCGAGGCTGCCAAACTTTTGTCCTGAAGCTGCGCTCTGCATCCCAGGGCTCTGGCCCACACACCCTGCAGCCCAAGTCCGGGAAGGGTCGCCCCCTAGAGTTGACCAGACCAGGGAATGGGGGAATCCAGCAGCCCGAGCTCCCATGACGCTGGTGATGGAGACTGGGGCCGCCCCCCATGCTCCCCCATCCCACTCCGTGTGTGGCACGCTTTGTAGGGTGCCGGAGTGTACCCCAAGCAGCGACCTCGTCATGAGGCCGTTTTCCTGGGGTCCTCCCCCCCCCACCAGGGCCCCGCGTGCCTGGAGGAGAGCTGGCAGCTGGCTCTGGGGTCTGGGCTGTGAGCCGTTCGGCTGGTGGCCACGTGTGAGATGCGTGTGAGATGCGTTCCTCCGCCGCCAGCCCTCGGCCCTTACAAGGAAGGAACGCCTCCCGGGGGAGGGGCAGGGAGGGCCCTGGGAGGCCCGGAGGCTCCCCCGACGGCCTGGGTCTGGGTTCCTGCAGCTCCAGCTCTCACACGCCACCCGGGATCCCCTGGGCTGAGAGGGCCCGTGCTGTCAGCCCCTCGAGGGGGGCAGGGCGGGGGCAGAGCCCTCAGTCCCTGGATGCCCTGACATCCCATGAACAGGGAAGTGGGAGGCTGGCAGGCTCCCAGGACACCTGGCCCGGCTGTGCCAGAGCACCTGAGCGCGCCAGAAGGCCACTTCTCTGGGGAGTGTGGTCTGAGAAGGCGAGTGGGAAGAAGGGCTCGTGGCATCCCATGTCCCAACTCCAAGGTCCCTTTCCTTGTGCCGGTGCCGTGGGAAGGAGTCGGGGCATGGGGCTACAGAAAAGCTTGGCCTGGCCTCCCGGGACCCTGGGACCCTGGCCCTGGGCTGTGTGTGTGTGCCCCCCACCCCCAGGCCAACAGGCCTTGTGTTATTTGGAGGTGGGGGACCACAGAGGCCCCCTCCAGAAAAGTAGTGTCTGGCTGTGGGTGTGGCCAGGGGACCCCCGCTCTCCTGGGATTCCCATTCAAGAACATCCTCTCGTCGTCCCCCCCCCACCAGAGGCTGAGCTGGGCGCCTGGACCCCACCCCTGCCCGCTGGCTGTCTTCTGCCCACTCCAATTGTCCTAATTGAGCTGTGGGTTGCGGCCATGGAGTTGGACTTGAGGAAGCCAGCGGCGTGCGTGGCTGGGCGCTGTCCACTGGCCCCGTGGAGGGCGGGGGAGGCAGGAGAGGCCCCTCCTCCCCTGCGTCCTGGGGCTGCCAGATGTTTTCCGAGTCCCGGGTTCTTTTTTCCTGCCTTCCTCGTGGCCAAGTGTGCGAAGGAGGGAAAAGTGAGATTGCATTTGGGGCTGTGCGGCCTTGTAACGGGGAAGCAGGCGATGCAAAATGAAACATGACCCCAATATTTGGAAATTGAGGTCATCTCCTGAGCGTACCATTGGCGGCCCCGGTCACGTGACCACACCCAGCGGGGGATTTGCGGGGAGCACAGGCCAAGTCGTGTGTGGCTCAACAGGTATCAAATGGTTAACTCTGACTCGGTCCAGCTGGCTGCCGCCCGCCTCTGTCCCCTGCCCCCTAAAGTGCCGTCAGCGTGGGCCAGCTCAGTTCTGGGCCGCTTTCTCATCTGGGCTGTAAGTCAGCAGCCGCAGAGGCGGGCCCATGGTCCCCCTCGGGCGCTCTGACCGCCCAACCGCCCAGCAAAGACCCCCAGGGATGGCGAATTGTCTGCCCGATTGCTGTCGCCGCAGGATGCTAGGTGGAGCCTGCTCCATCACCCCCCACCCTCAGATATTTTGGGGCTTGCCCCACGATTGACCACACCCTCTGACCAGTACAGTGTCTTCCCAGTGTGCATGGCCCCCCGTCTGTCCCCGCAGCCGGGGTGCAGGCCTTGTTGGGTATAACGGGGGATGGGGAGCCACCCCCCTTGTAAGGACGAGCAAAGCTGCTGCAGGGGCAGGGGAGGACCACCCTTGCCCCACTCGCCCCTCAGTTCAGCTTACATGGGGGCGGCTGTCCTGGGCAGGGCTTGGAGACAGCTGTGCTGGGCAGCGAGTCAGCTGGCACCTGGAGGGAATACACACCCTCAGCCAGGCAGCAGGGGCCAGGCAGCAGGGGCCCCCGGTGGTGCCCTCAACACCTTCAGCCAGGCCGCCCAGGAGCCAGGCAGCAGGGACCCCTGGCGGCCTGCCTGACTGCCCGCTCCGTGCCCACGGCACTGCAAGGGACCAGGTGTTTGTGGCTTAGCCCAGGATGGAGGCTCCTGCCTGGCTTCTGCCAGCCCTTTTTTTGTTGTTTTATTTTTAAAAGTTTGATGACAATGCCTTCGAAGGGCACCTGATTGGCCACAGGTCCCCGTGCCCAGCCCACCTGGGCCTCCTCACATGTGGTTACAACCTGCCTGGCTTTTGTACGCTGGTCTGGGATGCATGGCGGGACCCCACCTTGCCTCCGGGGGCTGCCTCCCTGTGGTGGACAGCCTAACTCGACCTCTGGGGACTCAGGTGTCCTTCAGGGAAGTCCAGGGGGTGACCTGCCCTGGGCAAGCAAGAGAGGCTTCCTGGAGGAGGCCGCCTGCTTGCTTTTCCTCCTCTCTGTCCTCTGGCTAGCGTCCCCTTGGCAGGGCCCTCTTCCTGCTCTGCTTTCAATCTAGCTGCTGGCCCCACCTTCCTGGCACGGAATCGCCCAGCTGTGTCCCAGGCTCCCCGGGCTGTTGCCCCTGCCTGGGGAGGCCTCTAACATGGCTGAGCCCAGGGGCCGGAGGGAAGCGAGTGGGGGCTGGGTGCAGGAGCAACCCTGGCCTGGAAGGAGGCGGGCGTCGGCGTGGCGCTGCACTGCTCTGGGGAGAAGGCTCGGACGGCCATGGTGCGAGACACTGTTGGAGGGCCGTCCCTCCAGCCATCAGTGCCCCAAGAGCTCCCAGCACTGAGTTTTGCCTCTGAGAGGTGGGCGGGCGGCCAGGCTGGGCTGGCACTGGCCTTCGTGTCCTGCTAATGTGCTGTTCAGGGGGTCTGGGGCACCTGCTGGCATCATGGCGCGTGTACTGGGCCCCCTGTGGCGAAGTTCCCACAGTCCTCCCACAGTATCAGGGCTCCCTCAGCACTGAGGGCCAGTGGTCCGGCCAGCTGGGAGGCCCAGGTGGGACTCCCAGCTCTGCTCCCGTCATGCCGCTGCGTCCCCTCAGGGGCCCACTCCTGTGTGTGCACGTGTGTCCTCTGCATGTCCGTGTGACCCGTGTGTGCTGGGGGTACACACTTCTGGAGCATGCCTGCACACGCGTGTTCACCTGTGTGTCTCTCCTGAGGTGCGTCCGTATGAGGGCCCATGTGTCTGAGGAGCTGGCGGCAGGCGGGATGGGAGATGCGCAGGTGACCGTGAAGCCACGGGGTGCAGTGCAACGCCCTGGGCGAGGGCAGGGGTCTGTGTGGCTCACAGAACCTCAGGGTGCCCTCTGAAGCCAGTGTCTGGCCTGGGGCAGCACCAGGGCCTGAGCTGATCCGTCCTTTCTGCAGCTCCTGCTGGCTGTGACTCAGTTTCCCTGTGTGATGGCAGGGTCCTGGCTCGGATGACACGTGGGGACCCCGAGGCGGCCCTGGGCTGTGAGGGCCACATCTGTGCATGCCACCCTCGTGGGTCCCAGGGAAGAGGTGACACAGAACGTGGCTGGCGGCGTGGGGAGTGGGGGTTGTGCAGCAGCACCCCAGGCCACACTTAGCAGCCCCCCTTGTTCCAGGGTTGAATGGGGGCCTGGGCTCGGGCCTCTGCCTGGCCCCCAAGTCTGTGGCATGTAGCGGGGGCCTGTGAGGATGTGTGCCACAGTGGCTTTGCCGTTTGGTACTGTTTCTTTGCCAGCCCAGGCTCCCAGGAGAGAGGTTTCTGGAATGAGCTGGTGATGGGCTGCCTGGGTGGACAACAGTGAGGGTGATGGGGTCATTTGGTGTCAATCTCCTCAGATGGACTGAGCCATCAAATTGTCGTCTTCCCCCCCACGTGGCCATCATTCTGGAAGATTCCCCAGCCCGGTAATGAGCCCTGTTACCAGGCATGCCATGGTCTTTGGGTGAGTCAGACCTGAGACGGGACCGCAGTCTGACCCAATTTTCTCCAAATACAATTACGCAGCACGGGGGGCAGGGCTGGCGGGAGGGTGTGTGCGTAGGCCTGGCCCCTGGCTGGGAGCGTCCCAGCTCTGCCAGCTTGCTGGACCCACTGCCCACCCCTCCATCATCCGTCTGTCCTGCGACTCGGCCCTGTGGGGTGCTGGGGACCTCTTAGTCTTTTTAAACCAGTGTCTCCCCCCACCTCCCCGTGCGTGGCAGAGCGCTCCAGCTCCTGGATTGCAGAAGCGGCCATCGCTTTGTGTGGGTGTGGCATGGCCTCTGTGCAGGGGAGGGGTTTGTGTGCCAGTGTGCACGAGCCTCTGCCATGAGCAGCCCGGGCAGATGCACAGGTGACCGGCAGGCAGTGAGGCCCCAACACTTGGGAAGTGGCGTGAATGCCGGAGGTGTGGCTGGAGGAGGCACCTGTCTGGCAGCCCTGGTAGGGCCGCTGCTGGTCGGGTGGGAGGGGAGGTGTGGGGGTGTGGCGTGTCCCAGCAGCTTTCCCACACACACCTGCACTGCGGGTGGAGCTTCCCCCACCGGGCTTGTCTACAGATGCTCAGAAGGAAGCCCCGTGAGT